TAAGCCCAGCACTTTGGGAGGTGGAGGCGAGAGAATTGACTGAATCCATGGGTTTGAGACCAACCTGGGCAACTTGGCGAGACCTCGTCTCTACGATAAATAAAAAATTAGCCAGGTGTGGTAGCGGGCACCCATGGTTCCAGCTGCTTGGAAGGATCGCTTGAGCCCAGCAGGTCAAGGCTGCGGTGGCTGTGAGTGTGCCACTGCATTCCAGCCTGGGCAAGAGTAAGACTCTTGACTCATAAAAACAAAGGTGCTCCTTTGTGCCATTGTCTCTTTGTAAACAGCACAGGAGTAAGATTTGGGCCTTTCTATCTGACAAGCCAAGGGCTGTGATAGAGTCTTTCCTGCCATGGACCAGAATACAATGATGGTGTCTCTTCCTTGATGGTATCTAAGGGAGACACTTCAGCAGAAGTTCAGCATCTGAGCACCCTGCAGTTGAACAGTGCATGTCAGACCCAGGGAAGAGGAGAGGAGGAGGAAGAGCTGGGGAGGCAGGTTGAGAGTGGGGAGAGGAGGGACACTGGGACCCATTTGACAGCTGGGTTGTTTGCACATCCTGTCTTGTGCACACAGGCTGGGAATCCCTCGGGCAGCAGGGGGACAGCAGTGGGATTGGCTCTGGCCACAAGGCGGTTTAAGCAACATCTGAGTGGAGCTGCTTGTAGACTGAGGCCCAGACAATAATGCACAGGAGAGGAGAAAGAAAAGGGGGCAGAAGAGTGAGAGGAATTGACTTTTTGAGCATTTACTCTGAGAGGAACGAGGCTGTGCAAGAAAGAAGGGAAAAGACGTCAAACAAGGGTGGGTGGGATCACTACAGCAGGTGACTGGTATGTTCTTCACCTTCGCCCTTCTGTATACCAATCATCAAGGACAGCCGAGTGCCAGTAGCCAGGGCTGAGACCACGGAGACAGTCCTTGCCATCCAGGGGCTCACAGTCTACCTGGGAAGGCAAGACCAAAAGAAATGACAAGTAAGCCATGGTAGCACATGTGGGGTCGGGTGAGGATGCCAGCCAGTGAGTGTGCCAGGGACCTGGAGGGATCACAGTGCCCTGAGGTCCCCAGGGAGAGGTTGGGCCTTGAGCCCAATCTTGAATGCTGGATAGCACTTGAGTGACGAGAAGGGATGGAGGATTTGTCCAGATTGGCATGGCAAGACTGCAGAAAGTGCCTAGGTGGCACATTCGAGGCGCTGTGGACGGCAGTTTGGTTCTTTTCTATTGTTCGTATATCCGGGGCCCTTTTACACATGTTATCACAGGAAATGACTGCTGTCCTTCGCAAGCCCCCAAGCCCTGGAACACATAGCCTTCGGGGAGCTCAACAGTATTAAACGAACTCCAGTCAGTAAATCAATGGTGGGTGTTGCAGGGCATGTGGAAAAGTGTAAAATACAGCCTCCGCCCTCCAGGACAGAAAGGTTTTCCTCCTGTCAAATGTTCAGTGAAGGAGATGCTTTGGGGTGTCTCTGTGGCAGAGGCCTCATGCTGGGGAGAGGCAGTGGGCTCAGGGCAACAAGGACAAGTCGAAGGGAAGCTGGGTTTGCCATCTATCAAGATGCTCCATTTGGGGGTGGTCCAAGAGGGCTTTCAGTGACTTAGCAGTTTTCTTCTCAGAATTGTTCCCAAGCGGTGTCCTCTGCTGTCTTCCCGGTATGTTCCTTCATCAGCACAGAAGCCAGTGTGCAGCCAACTACCAGATCAGAATCAGATGCCAAGGTAGTCACTAACTGTCCAGTAACTCACTCACCCCATGGCTGGCCACTAAATGACATCCAACCCATGAGCTGCCTCAGATTCTGCCAACAATCCCGGGAAGGAAGCGGTACCAGGAGAATGACAAAAACAAAACAAAACAAACAAATAAAAACAGGAAAATGCATGCGGATAATTTCTACATGGACCAACCTGGCAAAAGGACATTTGGAAATCTTTACTTGGCCTGAATGAAACCTCAGTCAGGCCCTCGGAGCGCCAGTGAGAGCCGAGTTGGAGAGGAGCTGAGAAGCACTCGGGACAAACTGTCAGCAAACTTCTCTCAAGCATCCCCCAGTCTGACAGCGGGGCTGTTTCCATGATGGAGTAGCTTATGGAGAAGTACAACCTTCAGGGGCGCATGGGCGGCTGCCTGTCGGTCACCACACGGGACAGCCTGAGACCGCTGATGGGTCAGCATTCACTGTGACACATTTGACCCTCTCTCTACTTTCTCAGTCAACTGAAGGCCAAGTGCATGACGGGAAGGGCTCTCCGGAGCCTTGAAGTTCCGGGCTCTGCATTTCTAGTTGGAAGACTTCTTTTCAAGATAAAAGCGTATCAAACGACAGTTGGAAGTATTTCAAAGAATGGATTCCATGCCCTAGCTTTGTAAGAGAGGAAGCCACAGATCTCATCTCTGTGACAGCTGAAGCATAATCTTTGCCACAGGCTAACTCTAGAAGAAGGAATTGCACAGCGGGAGCAGAGCAGCTTCTTCAAAACCATGGACTAACAGAAATAAACAGTCAGAGAAACAGCTGCACAGCATCTTAAGATTCTTTATTTAAAGGTCATATCTCTGAGCCAGGCTACTGTGTCATCAAGCAGGAAAATGCAACAGAAACTTGATAGTTTTGACTGGTGGCCTTCAGTCTTGAATGTTAAAATAGCTGTTGTTTTTTAACCAAGTAGTCTGCACCTCAACCTTCATGTTCATTCAGAAAATTCCACTTGACACCAGGTTCTGAAGTAAACACAACTTTCATGCATGAATACTCCCAAGGCAAGGGATCAATGAAGCTGACCAAATCACCATGGCAAGACGTCCCCAAGGAAGACACCACATATGACTGTTGAGAAAGCAGGTGATTCATCTTCCTATCACTCTTAAAGAACTGGGCAGTAACTTCAGACTGAGGTTTTTGAGTATGAGTCTCACTATGGCCCAGGCTGGAGTGTAGCGGCATGCTCGCAGCCACTGCAGCCTCAACCTGTTGCGCTCAGGTGATCATTCTGCCTCAACCTTCCCTTCCTGGTAGCTGGAACTACAGGCACGCGCCACCATGCCCGGCTAAGTTTTTGGACTTAGAGATGAGTGTAGAGATGAGGTCTTGCCAAGTTGCCCAGACCGGTCTCGAACCCGTAGGCTCAGGCAACCCCCTCACTTCGTCCAAGTGCTGGGATTATGGGCGTGAGCCACCACACCCAGCTTTAGACGGAGTTTTTTTGAGTTGGAGTCTCACTCTGTTGCCCAGACTGGAGTGCAGTAGCACGCTCCTGGCCACCACAGCCTTGACCTGCTGGGCTCCAGTGATCCTTCCGCCTCAGCCTTCCAAGTAGCCAGAACTACAGGCGCGCACTACCATGCCCGGCTAATTTTTTGATTTACTGTAGAGGCGAGGTCTTGCCAAGTTGCCTGGGTGGAACTTGAACCCACGGGCTCAGGTAAATCATTCACCTTGGCCTCCCAAAATGCTGGGATTACAGCCTGAGCCACTCAGCCTGGCCCAGACTCAGGTTTTAACAGACTGGGTCACTGAAGCTGTTAGAAGAAACATCTAGATCTAAGATAGAAGAGAATTGGCAACGCTATTTGAATGAACACTATTTTCATCCATCCTAAATGTTAAGATGTATTTTTGAATGTTAAAGATATTTGAGTACTAGGAAAAAAGTGCCTGGTGAGCAGAGTAGTCCAAGAGAAAACAGATCAACCGACAGGCCACCTTGGGGTCAAACATTCATGAACTGACCAATCCTCACGACCTCCTCCAGCCTAAATGCTGGTGCTGGTGTCCCCTAGATAGCATCATGAACTTCGCAAACTGACACTTGGACTGTTTCAAAGATGGACCCATACCCCTCTGACAGTGACATTATAACATCTGGGTGGTTTTTACTCATCTGCCTCCAAGAACCCTTTGGGCTCTGCCATTAGCTATTAAACCCCAGGAATTTCCTTCTCAGGCAGGTCAGTACCAGTTTTCTTCAGTTACTCATCTGACTTTTCTAACTTTTGACCTTGAAAAGTTCCAGATGTTCATAGAAGCAGAGAGAACAGTACAGCAAATCTTCATTTGTCCATGACCAGCCCCAACAACAATCAACTCATGACCAAGCTTGCTTGGTTCCTTCACCACATATTCATTACATTTATCTTACAGGTGGCCTGGCCAGCTGAACACCTGAGCTACTAATCACATGTCTACTAATCCAGCCGAACAGTCCTAGTACATGTGTGGTGGCCAGGCTGGTGCTTCATAATGTGGATTCAATCGACTCAAACTTGCCCCTCAGAAGTTGTGTGGGTGAGTTTTTAGACCCAAACACAAGGATTTACATTTGTCCCCAGGGAATTTCACCTTATCAGGCTCAGTTTATTCCTTCCTGCTAGCAGGATCCTTGTGGACCTCGACTCTAATATTTACCACTCCTCCCAGCTTTTTTGACACTTCTAAAATTTGGCAAAGAAAGGAAAGAAACAGGGATAGGAATAAAGTAGAAAGAATTTAGAGGTGGGAAGGATCAGAGAAAACATTTAAACTCCTTATTCAGTAGATGAGGAAACCAGCGCCACGAGAGCTGGCACCTGGCTCAAAGCCACCTGCTGGGTGACAGCAGGTCAAGCTGGAGCCTGGGCCTCCTGTGCATTGCTTTTCCCGCCATCCACATGAGTTCTCTACATCCTGGGGAGGACGTGCGCTAGCCAGGTCAGTGTCTTCTGGCCACTGCAAACTGATTTCTGTCAGCTTATCAGGTACTGCACTCTGCCAGGCCCCACCTCCCTCTTTACTTTCCAAAGCTCTCCTGCCTGCAGAGGTAAGGTTGGAAAGCATCTCTGCTCTTAGTCAACTCCTGCAGTGTGTAAGACAATGTCGCTGAATTCATTAAGAATGTCAAGAACATTCATAAATAATCAAGTATTTACATACGCTAGAAATGATAGTCCCTTATTAAAAAGCCACACAATATCTCACTTAGAGAATATGCTTAACAAAATATACATCTTAAAAATTCAGCATTCCAGATACTCTTACAACTGTTTCCATTTGAGAAGTAAAGAATAAAAATGGCAATTACAAACACAACTTTACACAATCTGGATAGTACGCAAGAAGCATCATGAAGTTCTTTGTGGCTAACCAACCACACACTGAAGGCGGGGTCGACGTTCAGGCTTGCACAGCCCATGGAGCCTCCAACAGAGGCTGTGCCTTGAGGATTTTCTTTCTCTCAGTGAAGACTTAAGACTTGGGGGTGGGGAGAGGCATGGGCTTCATCAAAAGGTCCACAACCCAGCTTCTTATCCAGTCTGCAGGCATCATCAGCTATCAAACCATTTGCTCCTCTTGGCAAGGGGTGCTCCTTTGGAAGGTCCCAATAATTTCTGCTTATATTGCTCGACCAGTTGGTTGAAGCGGGTTTCTGCCCTATTTCCCTTAGCCTTTTTCTTAGGTACCTACAAATGAAAGGAAACATAAGATAATCGTTTTCAAACACTAAACATCAACTTACCCTTGAGCCACTCAAGAAAAAAGATAAGTAGATACAAAGATAAGGACCACTAGGAAGAGGTAGGCTTCCAGAGAGAGGTCCTTAGAGAGGAAAGCTCAAAAAAAATCATCCACTGGTAAGAGATCAGCCTGAGTGCACAGGAGCAGGCAGCAAGCTGTGTGGGTGTGTTTGAGGCCACGCCCATTCTGGCGCTTAGAGGCTACTTTCATCTCAATCAGATGAGCCAGCCCAAAGTCTGCACCTTCTTGCCTGCCCATTTCCTCACCAAGAACACTGCTTGTGGGATCTCAGAGATCTCTGTGATATGGTATGGCATAGGTCAGAGATTTCCCAGAAATAGACTTCTTGTGTAGGATGGGACGCTGATTTTACCTTTAAAGGAAAAAAAACTGGGGGTGGGTATGGGGGGTAAAGGCAGCTTTACCTAAATGCTCAAGGACATAGGACAACCGTTTTCTACTGGAAGGAACTAGGGCTCCTTGCTCCTTGGAATAACAGCTAATACCAGGAATGGGGAGGAAGAAGAAGAGATGGGCCTGGACACCTCTAGAAAGCAACGACACTGCCAAAGACACGTTATGTCAGAATGACTAAGGAACCAATGTGCAGGGGTTTCCCTGGCCTAAGACGGGATGAGAATAATGAATATATTTGAAACACATCAAGTGTATGAAAACTCAGGATTTCATAATACTTAAAAAAAACTTATTGGTCACCATAGGAGATTGGGCAACAGCTCATTGTTCTGGAAACTGGTACAGAGAAAAAAAAATCAAGTATTTTCCTATACAAAGTGATATTTCATGGTAACCAAATAGCTGACAAGGGAAGATTCTTCTTTCTAGAATTCTATTTAAAAATGCACAGGGACCGAATTAGAAAATGACTATCTATAACCTATAAAGAAATAATGGATCTAGATAACAATCATCAATGGTTGCTAAAGTCATTGGGTGAAAGGCTGATGGGGGACTTCATCAGCAGAGGGATAAGGCAGATGGTCTCCAAATGCACTGATCAATCTTAGCATCACTAAAATAAGCAACCAGGTAGCACATGCCTCCTGCGATGTAAGGAAACACACAGCACCACCTGTGGCATACCCTTGTCAAGAAAACTAAATATGATCAAGCTTCCAGATCAAACTACCAGTTGACAGGCAATACGTACGGGGTATCACAGAAACAAGTTAAATGACATAAGGAAGCAAGCAAACCTGGTTTTGCCAATAAATTGACAGCATGGAAAAAAGGGGGATGGTAAGAGAGAATGAGTAACATTGAAGAAAAAGATTTCAGAGATTAAAAAACAAAACAAAGATTATGTTTAGACTTTGGCTGAATCCTGATTCATACTAAGCAAGCATAAAAAAACGTTTTTGAACTGGGGAAATTTTAATATTGGCTGATGATATAAGGGCTTCTTATTCATTTCACTAGTTGTAATAAGGGCATAAGGTGTGCGTGTCTAAAGCCTGATCACTTAGAGATGCAGTTTGGGTTTTCTGAGCAGTATACCTCACTTTCACATGAGGGCCAATTACATGTAAAGTAGGTTTGTTTAATACACTCTAGTGGGGGAAAGGATATATGGGGAACAGGTAAGACTTGATGCAGAGGAACAGATATATGGGGATTCATTTTACTTTCCCTACTTTTATGACTGTGCAGCTCAACCTTTTCTGAAGAGCTGCAGCTCTGCATGGAGCTGCAATCCAGAAGCCTTTCCTTCTGCTCAACTCACCAAGGGAGGGAGTTGGCTGGCAGCCAGGCAGAGCCACGCCAAAGCTGTGTGCCTGGCAGAACTCACCTGCTTGGAAGGCAATTGCTGTTTCTCCTGCTTCCACTGGTTGACCTGGGGCTTTGGCTTTTTGAGGGGGAGGGACTTCACTTTGCCTTTGTCCCGCAACCTGAAATAAGATGGCCAGTTAAGCATAAGTATCACCCTTCTTCTCCTTGGTTCTCTTAGCCCAAGAGCTACTTTTTCCATTTTGTACAGTGGTTCCTTCTAAGCCCAATGTAAGTTAAGTCATTTTAAAAAGGGACACTGCAACAGACTATCCTAAGACTCAGCATTTTATACTTGTTGCTTTAATGTGTGTGTGTTGGTTCTGTTTTTGCTTGAAAACCTCAAAGAAATCTCAAAAACCTTCATTTATTTGACATATATTCTGAAAAGATCTACTTTCGTAAATAGCGCTAATTTGTTGTCCCAAACAGAAACTACAGGTGAGCCTCAAGTGTGTAGCCTCAGCTGACAGAGACAGCCATGTAGACAGGAGGACGCTCTTCAAAAGAAGAGAAAAATGGCACAAAAGCCTGCCCTGGAAGGCTCCTTCAAGGCCATCTGATCCAAGAGTGACATCTCTGCTAGTGTAGAGAGACTTGTGTTAAGCCGTCACATGGCCTGCACAGCACTAAGCATCCCTTTCACCCAAACAAACGCCACAAAAAAGAAAAGAGTACAGCAAAGCCAGCCCTGCTTGGAAGCCACCCACGTTCCCTGCCACCCTCCTGCATCTCACCTGATCTTGGGGCCTCGGTGTGAGGGGAGTGCCAGGACCTTTCTTCTCTTCTTTCCATCAGGCAGCTCCACCTGCTCCACTTCAGCCTTGGTCTGGAAGCCTGCCCATGAGCTCGATCCCGCCTTCCCCTTCTGCTCTGGGGGCACCTTGCTGTGTTCCTCTGTGTAGTTTTGAGCTGCCTTCTGCTGCTGGTCTTTTCTGGGCTCTGGTCGCCCCTTCTGGGGCTCACCAGTTGCAGGTTTAGATCTCACTTTTTGCTGCATAAAACAAGAAAATGCCATCTGGTTTCCGGATGAGACTTGCTCACTGCAAATACCTCAGCAGCAGAGAAGTTGTACGTGAGCTGAGTGAGAGAAGGGGAACTCCTCCCCCACAGTTGGGGACCAGAGAAAAGGGAACGCAGTAGTCCACAGCCCTGACATAGTAACAGGTGGTTACTGAGTGAGAGACACAAAATAGCCATTGCCCTTCCCAGGACGTAGGAATAGGGGTGTGCATGCCCAAGACTCAGAGGCCAGCTTGAGACAATTACCAAAGCTGTACCACACATGTAAGGGGAATACCAGAAGAAAGCAACAGAAAAGATATTTGAAGTAATAAGGACTGAGAATTTTTCAAAATAATAGACACTAAACCACAATCTAGGAGCCCAGAAAACACCAAATAAGAGAAATACTAACACTCTACACCCAGCCATATCATAGTCAAATTGAAGAAAAATCAAAGATAAAATCTTGAAAGAAGCCGGAGGAAAATAAAATATAACCTACAGAGGAACAAGAGTAAGACAATAGCAAATTTCTCTTCAGAAATTACATAAGCAAGAAGAGAGTAGGGTGAGATATTTAAAGTTTTAAAAGAAAAAAAAAAAAATCACCAACCTAGAATTTTGTATCCAATGAAGTTATCCTTCAAAAGTGAAGGAGAAGCTGGGCTCAGTGGCTCAGCCTGTAATCCCACACTTTGGGAGGCTGAGGTGAGTGGATTGCCCGAGCCTGCGGGTTCGTGACCTGCCTGGGCAACTTGGTAAGACCTCATCTCTACAATAAATCAAAAATTAGCCGGGTGTGGAAGCGTGTGCCTGTAGTTCCAGCTACTTGGAAGGCTGAGCCGGAAGGATCGCTAGAGCCCAGCAGGTCGAGGCTGTGGTGGCCGGGAGCAGTCACTGCGCTCCAGTCTGGGTGATAGAGTGAGACTCCAACTCAAAAAAAAAAAAAAAAGAAAGAAAGAAAAAGAAAAAGTGAAGGAGAAATACTTTTTCAGACAAACAAAAATTGAGGGAATCTGTCACCAGTAGATCTGTCTTGCAAGAAATACTAAATGAATTTCTTCAGAGAAAAAAGGTCAGAAACTCAGATCAACATCAAGAAAGGCAGAGCATTAAAGAAGGAATAAAGAGCAGAAGACAAGGATAAGATGCTGTGGGAAGGGAGGCATGAAGAATGTGATGGAGTTATTTGCACTAAAGTGAACGAAAAAAGATATTCAAGTGAAATTAATGATAAGTGTTTATTATCCTGCCCTTTCTCCTTAAAGTCCAAGCAGGTGCACTGACAGCATTGGCATCTGTTACATGCCTATTGCGTGCCAGTCTGTCTATAAGTGGTAGGGACACAGGTGGGAAGAACACAGTGTCCACCTTTTGGGACTCGTAGTCTCGTGGAGTTAAGAGAGGCACATGCCAATAAAACAAAGTAGAAAACAACATAGTTTAAGGTTCATGAAAACCCAAGGAACAAGGTCTTATCTTTTCTGAGAGAGGCAGGAGAATGCTACTTGAAAAGGATCGTTTGATCTGATTATGCAAAGTAAGTAGAGGTGTCCTTCTGATTCAGGGGTGGGGGTACTTTTACATGGAAAGAGCAGTATATACATAACTGTAAGCAACAAATAAAGCAACTTGGATATATTAAAAAAAAAAAAAAAAAACAAAGCTAGTAGCCTCAGAATTACCTTTAGAAACAATGGGTAAAGGTAATAAACAATTCTATCATCCAAGATAACAAAGTTGCCTTGATCAATAACCAGACCTCAGGTTTTCCAACCAGGGCCACTGTATTAAACATTGAAATTGCTAATCCGTTGGTCATGCTCTTGTATATACCACAAAGACTACAGATGTTTGCTATGTATGCAACCTAAGGTAGAATGTCAACATGAGCTCTAAGAGATCAGAGTCAAGAGTAATCTGGTCCTATATGTCCTAGAGGAAGACGGGTAAGAGAACGAGTATTAACTGCATGCTGACTAGCCAGTATGCCAGGAAATGGCTATGTATTATCTGACCTAATCCTCAGCTATCACGTGAGACAAACAACATTTGTCAAACTGAAGTTCGGAGAGGTAAAAGCTTGCCAAGAAATAAGCAAGACAGGGGTAGGGTCAGAGTTTGGACATCAGTTTGCCTGTTCTCGAGGTCCCTGCTCTTCCCTCCATACCACACTAGATTAAAAACAGCACTAAAACTATCAGGCATTCCACTTCTGGAGCTAAGGAGAAAAAGGAATAGGCACAGGAAAGCTGTACCCTACAGGTAGTAAAATCCATAGCCTCAGCCAGGAATTTTGACAGGTACCATAACCAAACTCTGTCCAAGAACTAATACCATCAGTCTGCTTCTCACTCTTTCCTTGCCTCTTCCTGTGCAGCCATCACAGATGGGCCAGCAGAGGGGAAGATGCCTAGAGAGCCTCAGGCACTGGGGGTGGAGGGCAACAAAACCTAGTGGGTGAGAACTACTCTATGAGAGCAGAAGCACAAGCCAAACAAAGTACAAATGTTGAATTATGTCTTTAAAAAGAAACACTTAAGTTCTTTACCAGGCTGCGCTGGATCCTTAGTTCCTTCATTTTAAGTTTTCTTCGGTCTTCCAAAGAGAACTCCACTATTGGTCTCTGTCAGAGAGAGACAAAATGTCACTCATCAGGCTTTTTAAAAAAAAAAATTTTTTTTGTTTTTAGACTTCTTCATCTGTGAGTGCAATGAACTGAGTTATCCCTCCCCCACCTGCCTTCCCCCACCCCCAAATCAGAGAGGTTGCTGCTCACCTCTACTTCAAAGCAAGGGGATAGTTCTGCAAGCAGTCTATACGATTTAGAGCTCCTTCTTTTTTTTGAGTCAGAGCCTTGCTCTGTGGTCCAGGCTGTAGGGTTCATGGCCACCATGGCCTCAACCTGCTGGGCTCAGGTGATTCTTCTGCCTTAGCCTTCCAAGTAGCTGGAACTATAGGCGCATGCCACCATGCCCAGCTAATATTTTTTATTTATTGTAGAGACGAGGTTTCACCAAATTTTATTTATTGTAGAGACAAGGTTTCTCACCCAGGCTGGCCTTGAACCCCTCAGGCAATCCTCTCACCTCGGCCTCCCAAAGTGCTGGGATTACAGGTTTGAGCCTGAAATAGTCACTCATTCCCCAAACTCCCAACTACTTGGTACTCTTTCTCACCACTCAGAAGTCAGAGAACACTAGACATGAAGGAGAAGATTGGTTTTCTGCAAGTGGCCCTCAGGAAACCAGCCTCCTCAGAGGAGAAGGCTCACCTTCTGCGGGCCAAAGATTTCTGGATTGTTGTTGATGTGGCGGAGGGCTCTCAGGGCATGTTCGTGCTCCTGGAACTCTGCAAAGGCATAGCCCAGGGACTGACCCTTCACATTCCCATGAACTCCTTTGAGGTCTCGCATCACCCGACACTATGAGTAAAATAAGAAAAAGAATCACTAATTACAGAATGAGATGCCTCGCCTGACATGAACTGCTTTACTAGAGTCAGCAAGAAATCAGGTTACTGAAACAGAATCATTTATACCACCATCAAGAAAACCATACTGGAATAACACTTATGAATGTCCATTTTACACCTGCTGAGCACAAAACAGGTCAAAATGATATTTTCTTGCTTTCTATGAGTTTACAGACATTAATAGACCCACAAATAAGCACACAAATAAAACTTTCCAAAGAAAATTTATGTTAGCTAACTTCATAATACATACAAGCTGAGAGGGACACGGTACTCTAAGTTGCACAAGTTATCACTGTGGATGGAATAGATCTCATCACTGAAAAAAGCCCTCAGCAAGGAAATTATTGAAGAATATCAGGAAGAAGGCCTGACAGCATTAGATAAAAAAGATATTTCGGGCACGGGAAAGAGCCTTCCCAACATACAGCCTCTGAAAACAGAAAGAAGTCTCAGCTCTCTTTACTTGGAGCTCAGAGTCTCTCTGGGCACTGAGGTACAGTAGGATATTGTACAAAATTGACCATTTACTGTTACTGACTTCTAGAAGCTGTTGTTCTCATGTCATGGAGAAGTCTAAGTACTGAGGACACTTGGATGCCACATTTGATTTATGTCCAGTGTCTACTCTGTGCCTAGATCTGGCATGCACTGTGGGGGAATCAAGAGATGCATATAATGAGGTTCCTGTCCTCAAGAGGCTTATTATCTTACTGAGACATTATACTTCCACAAATGAAAGCATTAAGAAAAAAATTCAAAACGATGCAAATATTACAGAATACACATAAACTTCTCTCAGTTATGACAGGTTTTAAATGTGTAGACACTTTCTAAGTATTGTGGATATTGATATAAGGAATTACAGAACTGACCCCTATGCCAGTGGCACTTTGAGCAGTTTTATTAAGAGTGGTGTCAGGTATGTGCTGATATATTCACATTCCCTTACGTAATTTCCCAAATACCAACCCATACATTTTGAAGAGGCTTTCAGGGATTAGGAAGACAGTGTGTGGTGATGAAACAGAGCAAAGCAGACCCAAAATACTGACAATGGTACTTTTAAAATAAATACTGATTGGAAGATTACTATGTGCCAGGTACTTTGCCAAGGACTGGGAACAAAGTAACACTTGCCCTCAAAAAGCTGTGTCTGGTGGGAAGAAACGACTGACAAATTTCAGGCCAGGTTAAGAGTTAGCAGTACAACAGAGATAAACAAAGGGGGTCGTGGGGGGGGGGCAGAGGAGAGGTTGTGTATTCACACAGAGCCTAACCATGTGTTGGTGTGAACCCTGTGCTTTTCTAATTCAACTGCGAAGACGAGAATGGCTCTCTGTGCTCACCACAGAGCATAGGGGACTCTGATCACAGGGTAAGAGCCTAACTGGTAGTAAAATGCTCTCATCACAAGCAAAGCGCAGATATTTTCTCTCAAGAAAATTCACATGACAGCACATAGTATAATGATAAGTACACAGCGATATTTAATAAATGCTTGCTAAATTAATTCATGAAGACAGAGGTTTCTCACATTCTGCTGTAATTTGGTGAGACATGAAATACAGTTCTCAGAAGAAGAAAAAAACAAAAACCAAGAAAATGCTGAACTCAGTTTTGCAGGGTGACTTGTCCAAAAGAAAATCCGTGGATAGGTCGGCCCCACAGCCTGAGATAGATGCTCAATCTGACCTAGGATGAGAATGAAAGTTCTGAACAGGCAGGGCCAGCTCTCACCTCCTTAACACGCACCCCCTTCTCCCCTCTGGTAGCACTCAGCAGCAGGTTTCTGAGATGTTTGTCATCCACGGCCTTTGGAAGATTGTGCAGGCAGAGCCTGGTCCGGGAGACAAAAATATTCTGGTCCTTGAGTTTCTGATGCTTCAGCAGCTCAAACTGAAAGAACAACAAATTGTTAACAGTACAACCCGGCCTTTAAAGACACAGGCTCATAATTTCCCCAAAGGAAAGAACCATGACCCCCATCCTATAACCATACACATAGAAAAAGAAAGGTAACTGCCTATCCTCCAGTCTTACAATGCCCAGCATGGGGAAAGAAAAGTTCAAGGAGTCAAGATGGTGGGTGGATAGTAATAAGACCCTGGGTTCTGGAGTCAGATCTGAGTTAGAAAGCCATCCCTCACTGGAGAAATTACTTGAAGTTTTTTCCAATTTTTCTACAAAATGGAACAGTATATCAAAGTCTCTCAGCACTGATGTGAGGCCAAAAGGAGACAATACACAAAAAAATCCCTAGCTCAAAATGTAGCCCAGAGCAAATAATAAACAATATTGTGGTTAACATCCTACGCTCGCCCCTCATTTACCCACAACTCAAATTAACCGTGTAATCCTTCCACAAGGAAATGAAACTTATTCAACAAATACTTGATAGAATATTGACTCGTCTCAAGTCTGCCACCCTGAGGCAAAAGACTGTCCAGTACCACAGAAACGTGTTCAGTTCTTAGAACAGCATCCTCAACTATGCTGCCATGAGCACTAGTTTCTGGGTGACCTGTATCTAAAATTAAATGAAAGAGGTCACTCTTCTCTAATTTGTTTCTTAAAACCAAGTTAGTAGTAAAAAGTTTTCAATTATAGTTTTCAGTCCTTCTGCTTCTTGTTTTGTACAGGTACCAACAAATCACAAAATAAACATACTCTGGAAAATGACTGTTAAGTGAGGGACATCTGAAGAGGTTATCATGTCAAAGCTCAACAAATGATTTTTCTCCCAAGAAAACCTGTGCCTGCTGTAAATTTATAATACATGCATATAGGCTAGTGAACTTTGTGTTAGCAAAATTAGCTCTAAATTAAATGTCACTTTTCTGATGCATTGTGGTCAGAAAAGGGCACACCATGACCTCAAATATCAAGATTTCCTGATGCTCACATCACCAAAAAAGTTGAAAATGCCACTCCAGAACATGTGCACATTGACCATGGACACAGTGTCTCTTGATGTCAATGTATTCTCACCTCTGTTCATTATCTTCCACACTTTAGGGTTCCATAGCTAATTCTGTTAATGGTTATGCATCTTGACCATTCCAGGCTGGCTTAGCTTTTTGAAAGTAAGTTACATGGGCAAAGGTAAATATTACTAGGAACCAACATCACCAAGCAGCAAAGGAACTTAATGGTATCAGTAACAGTGGAAACTCCCAGAAGATGGAGTTTTCCTGTAATGATTATGTAATCTGGAAATAGCATCCCCTCCCAATTGACACCTTAGCTACCCTTTCCAAAAGTCACAACTCCTTCCTTCCCTAGTAACTCCAGCCTATACCTACCTTCATTTCTTATGTTATTCTGTATCCATGCTGATACCTAGTTACATAGCCTTCACCTCAGACTGCATGATCACATGTTCAGCAAACATTTACTGTAGCATTTGGGAAACAAAGAATAAGACATAGCTCTCACCCTGCTATATAAGGCTGGTCTGACACTATGTATAATGCTGGGTTACTTGCTGTTTTGACTCTATGCTTCTTTGCTAAAAAGAATCTAAGTACAGTCTGTGACCTACGCTTGGCTCTCTGAGGCACATCTAGCATTTAGTAATTATTTCTGACTGATTTATAAGCCATGCAGATCCAAAGACTGGTGTCCAATCTACTTACCCGTTCTCTTTTGGCCATATCAGCAGCACTTACACCCTCTGCTGCTTTCGTCCCAGCACGAATCACTGCAGAAAGAGGGAAAAAGGCCAACATGTCACCAAGGGAATTTTTACTGAGCAACAAGAGGAATGTGATTTGAATGATGCAAACTCTTTGTACAGGGCCCAGAGGACTATGTTGGCCAGGACATGGTGGCATTTGGTTTGGTCCAGAAATAGGTTACAGGGCTAAGTTGTGCGCTCAGAGTTGCTCTCAAGGACTAAAACTCTGAACATTTTGTGATTTTGTTCCTCTTCTCCTTCTCTCCCCTCAAAGAAGCCTCATGTACGTGCCCAGAATCAGATGGAAAGGCCTGGGGGAAGTAACATACATAAGTACATCTTAGGCATTTTGGAAAGCAAAATGTTTCACCTATAACCTGACCCTGGGACTTAACTTAGCTGTTCCTTATATATTTGGGGGTCATTACCAAGCAGTGAGATAAGCTGATCTAGACAACAGTCCTATAATCAGAGAGGGCTAGCATCAAGGGCTAGTAGATAACATGACTAGTCCAGGCCGTGAAGCTGTGCCGGAGGCTGATAAACACTGGGTAACCCAGAAGAAAGGCTTTTTTAAAATTTAAAACTAATTTCTGATTATCTTTCTGATGTTAAGGGAAAGGTACTGGGTGAACACTTAAATCCATGAATAATCCAAAAGAATAATTTTAGTCATAAAGAAAACCTCTTATTAGAAATGATGACAAGAAGCAAAGTTAATTAGAGTTTTTCTTCCCTCCTTGCCCTGACAATCCTCTAATGAAAAAAGACTAAGGGCAACCAGGTAGAAAAGAGAACGGAGCCAGGATCGGTGGCTCAGCCTGTAATCCCGTGCCTTTGGGAGGCTGAGGTGAGTGGATTGCCTGAGCCCGCGGGTTTGAGACCCGCCTGGGCAGCGAGACCTCATCTCTACAATAAATCAAAAAATCAGCCGGGTGTGGTAGCGCATGCCTGTAATTCCGGCTACTCGGAAGACTGAGGCGGAAGGATTGCCGGAGCCCAGCAGGCGAGGCTGTGGTGGCCGGGAGCGGCTACTGCACTCCAGTCTGGGCAAACGAGTGAGACTCCAACTCAAAAAAAAAAAAGAAAAGAAAAGAGAACAGGACTGGTTAATCCACAAAATGGGTGAAGATTTCCTAAGAGAAAGCCACATCTATAAAGTGGAATGATAATATAACACTGTTAAAGAGGATATTTGGGTTTTTAATTTGAAACATGCTCTAAAACATCGCATTGCTGGATCACTGTCATAACCTGGGGTCAGCTACTTGAAAGCCTGACTCATGTTTCCCTTCCGCTACTCACAGCCTTCTCGGGCCAGATAGAGGTTCCGGGTTCCAGTCGGCTTCTTCACCTTCTTTGTCCGAAGCTTTGCAGCCTCATCACGGGTCACTGCCATGTCAACCTTAAGTTGCCGGCCATCCAGTTTAAGCCCACCACTCTGCAACAGATGTACCCCTCCTCTCAAAACACATGAATTGAAAGTAAGCACGTGACAAGAAACACAACAGAAAGGGAAATGGCAAACCCTAATTATGCTGTGGAAGCCAAACCCCAGGAGACTTCAGCTCAGTGGGCTGCGAGTGGATCACTGAGCCTCACAATATTCAAGATCCTGTGGAAAAGGTCACATGTGCATTTAGGGCAGTCAGCAGTGAAGAACTGATTTTTATGGGAGATGAGGGAAAATTATCTGTAAAGATTCTAAAGGAAGCTAATGAAATAGTAGAATGTTTACTCAAAAGAATTTAATAAATAATGGCAATGTAGAATAACAACTCAAAACAATTCATACTTAATTACAGGATAGAAAACACAGAAAAATTCTCCATTACCCACACTCTCTTTTTCAAATATTTACTTTATAGAAGATCCTAATGCCTTCTTGACCCAGTCATTCATGTTATCAGGCTAGGACAGGGGCTGACAACAGAGAGTAATCAATAAATATCAAATACATTAGTATCCCTGTCTCCTCATCTATGAAATAGAGTTAATAACTCTACCTACCTCACAGGGTTGATGTGATGATTAGATAAGGGAATGCATGTAAAGTTCAGTGCCTAACACACATTATGCAAGTGCTCAGTATGTGTTAACTTTATTATTGACAATAATAATGATGATGACAATAAAGCTTTGTGTAAACATTTGTTGCTGCCCCAGGAACCACTGTCTCCTGTGTCACAGGGTAAAGGAAATGTATTCCTTACCTCATTCTCCAGAGAAGCAGCTTTAAGGCATTTCTGAGCTGCTTCTTGAGTCATGAATTGGGCAAACGCACAACCTGCACAAAGTCATAAAACTAAGTGAGATCTCAAACTCTCATGGCCCATCAGGAAGTCAAAGGCAACACGACAAATGACAATAGCCTAACACAGAGTGGAAGGAGCAGGTAGCATCCATTTTTTAAGTACAGCCATGCATCTCATAACAACATTTTGGTTGGTGACAGACCACACATATGATGGTGGTTCCATAAGATTATAATGGAGCTGCCCAATACAGGTGTACCACTTTTAATCTCTTATGCTGTATTTTTCCTATACCTTTTCTATGTTTACATGTTTAGATACATACTCACCATGTGTTACAACCGCCTATAGTGTTCAGTACAGCAACATGCTGTACAGGTTTTAGCCTAGGAGCAACAAGCTATACCATATAGCCTAGGCGTGTAGTAGGCTGTACTATCTAGGTTTGTGTACACTAAGATGTTTGCCCAATGACAAACTCATCTAATGGCACAGTGCACATTTCGCATAATGTATCCCCATCATTAAGGGACGTGTACTGTACTATAAGACAGGCACTGTGGTAAGCACTAGAAGGGTCAAAGACAAATAAGATTCACACCTGCTCTCAATGAAATTTTATTACTTCCTTCAGCGTTTTTAATACTTCTTAGAACTTCAGCTCATCACCTCTCTCTTTAATAAGAAATAGCCACATGAAATGGTAGAGAAATTCCAGCCTAACACTTAATTCAGCATCATTCATGGACTATTAGAGGACTAAAAAATGAGGCAGGAACCACTTAACCCTGAAATTAATTACAGATCTCACTGTCTAGTGGTCACTTGAGAGACATCAAATAAAGGCAGATCTGCCTCTTGAGGTAAGAGTCCCTGGCTGCTACCACATGGATGTAGCGGGAACCAGACAGCCTAAGCTCAACTCCTGGCTCACGCTTTAGAATCTCCACAAGGCGTGCCTTCATGTATCAGATGCAGAGTCAATCAGCCCATCTGAATTTCTGCTAGTGACAAAAAAGCAGCTTTTACAGGCAAAGAAAGTTAGTATTTCAGAGGATTCAAAAAAAAATACAAGTTCCATAATCCTTTATTAGAATTCCTTTACATTTTGAATATTCTCTCGTGTACACTGTCATATTTCCTAGAGTTGCTGGGGCATCAATCTTCTGCCCCCTTTAAGAATGAATGGCAGCAGACTACCTGAAAGGACATGTGTGGCAAGCCAACACAAGGGTCACCACCTAGGAGCTGAGTGCTCCAACTTCTATATCCCCACCCACCTCCTGTCCTCCACTCCCATATCTATTACAGCATCAGGTGCCATCGCAAACAGAATGAAGGTCTCAGGAGAATAAGGACCACATTTCTTATCTGATTCTATATCCCCAGCGCCTGCCACAGTGCACAGTATTAGTAGATCCTCAGAGAAAAAAACAGATCATAAAGAATAGAATCAGAAAATATTTTTAAAAGGCAGATTCGTCTCATTCAATATGAAGAAAATGAATACTTTTCTCCAAATGAGTAAACATTTTTATCATGGAATTTCCAGGATCAGCACTAGGCTCAGTCTTAACATTTCCCTAGAAGTCTACAGATAATATTTAGCTCTTTCAGGCAGTGAAATGGCATGCCGAGAGGGGTAAGCTGTAGAGGAGCACAAGGCTGCAAGAGTAAGCAGAAAAGAATGACTTAATGAGCTAAGGAAAGACAATACATTAAGAAAAAAAATTAAAACTATGCTTATTAAGGTCATTAACTCTATAAACATTAATAACCGAAAAGGACATTTAGCAAGACCGTTGCAGGCTTCATTCTGAAAATGTTAACCTAATATACCACTGCACTAAAACACAGACAAAAGATGCTGACCATCACCCAGGTAAAGTCATATCATACCAGTACTGAGAACATTCTACGCCATTCTAGTTGCACATGTTTAGAAAAACATTCTGGAAATGGAGAAAGTTCAAGGAGAAGTCCTAGACAAGAGAGCTGAAGGCACTTCAGGCAATTAATGTACTTGTACTCACTCATTTTACAAATGAAAAACTGAGATGACAGTGATCAAATGATTTGCCAGAATCACCCAGCTGGTCCATGGCTTAGCTGGGATTAGATTCCTAATCTCCAGGAAGCAATTCAGTGTTCTTTCAATATCAATAGTAATGCCTAATTTACATCTTCTTTTTTAGAGGGTCTTCCTTTGTCACTCAGGCTGAAATACAGTGGCGTGATCATAGCTCACTGCAGCCCTGAATTCCTGGGCTCAAGGGATCCTCTCACTTCAGCTTCCTGTGTAACTAGGACTACATGTTCATGCCACCACACACAGGTAATTATTTTAAAAAGTAGTTTAGCCAGGCATGGTGGCTCATGCTTGTAATCCTAGTACTTTGGGAGGTCAAGGCGGGAAGATAACTTGAACCCAAGAATTTGAGACCAGCCTGGGCAACACAGCAAGACCTCATCTCTAAAAAAATAAATAAATAAAAATTAAAATAAAAAATTGCGTATTTCTTCTTTTTTTTCTTTGAGTTGGAGTCTCACTCTGTCATCCAGGTTGGAGTGCAGAGGCACACTCACGGTCACTGCAGCCTTGACCTGCTATGCTCAGGTGATCCTTCCATCTCAGTTTTCCAAGTAGCTGGAACTACAGGCACGTGCTACCACACCCGGCTAATATTTTGATTTATTGTAGAGACGAGGCCTCACCAAGTTGCCCAGGCTGGTCTCGAACCAGCAGGCTCAGGCAATCCTTTTGTCTCGGCCTCCCAGAGTGCTGGGACTGCAGGCTTGAGCCACTTCACCTGGCATAGAAAAATAGCTTAGATGCTGGGCTCGGTGGCTCAGCCTGTAATCCCACGCCTTTGGGAGGCTGAGGTGAGTGGATTGCCTGAGCCCGCGGGTTCAAGACCCGCCTGGGCAGTGAGACCTCATCTCTACAATAAATCAAAAAAATCAGCCGGGCGTGGTAGCGCATGCCTGTAATTCTGGCTACTCGGAAGGCTGAGGCGGAAGGATCGCCGGAGCCCAGCAGGTCGAGGCTGCGGTGGCTGGGAGCGGCCACTGTACTCCAGTCTGGACGACCGAGTGAGATTCCAACTCAAAAAAAAAAAAAAAAGAAAAATATTAGAGAAAGAGTCTTGCTATGTTGCCCAGGCTGGTCTCAATCTCCTGGGCTCGGGTGATCTTCCCACCTCAGCCTCCTGAGTAGCTAGGATTACATGCAGGTGCCATGCGCCCAGCCTTACATCATTTTTAGCTGAGTAAAAACCAAAAATAATCAGGTCTTTTCCATTTGGAAAATAAGAAGGTTTAGAATGAAGATTCTTAATCCCTAGTGGGCTTGGGAAAGCCCACAGACCCTCAGAAGTAGTGTTTTCTGGGAAAAGGGTTCATAGCTTTTGCTTGATCTCAAAGGAATCAAGAATTGGAATAAATTAAGAACTCAGCACTTTAGGAGAATGACTGCAGTTGATGAAATCAAGCATTATAAATGGGTTGAAAAGATGCTTAGGATGAAAAATGGTCAACTCATAAAACTCAAGAGAAATAGCTTTGAGGAAAAAAAAATCTAAGGTAGCAATCCCACAACTTAGTTTTCCTTCTGACTATTGCCACTGAAGCAGACTTTCTCTGTCAGCGGCCATCTCTCACAAAAGCAACAGGGAAAAAAAAAAAAAGATCTTGGTAATTTTAAGCAGTGTGGATGATTAATGCCCATGAGATGCTATCACATCTGAAATTCAAAGAAGAACAACAAATAGAATTAATTATCCTAAAGTAAATAAGCAAAGGCTTAAAAAGCTTAGACAAAATTATGGCTGGCAGCACCAGTAAAGATGCTGAGTTTGACATCATAGAAGACAACCTCAGGATGTCCTTGGTGTTTCTGTGGAACCTGGATGAACCATGGGTCTCTCAAAATGGCACACATTATGCTCTCATGCAACTTAGTCAATGCCCACGGCAGTGGTCTTAACCCCTTTAGTGCCTGGTCAGCTGACGGCACATACCTTTTGAATGTTCTGTGTCTGGATGCAAGACGATGCGGACATATTTAAGATCTCCAAACTGCTGGAGCAGCTCCCCAAGCTCTTCTTCTTCTGAGTCAAACGACAGATTTCTATGAAAGATAACCAAAAGATCACAAGAAAGGTCAATTACAAAAGTGAGATCTTGTGTTCTAGAACAAGGTGAGTTAGAGATCAACTAAGGTGGTTCCCTCGCTTGCAACCACATTCCCTTAGTCAGAAATAGCACTGATACAGAGGGATGTGCTCCTGTGGCTAGGCCTCTGCTGTATGCCCACGTCCCTTGGTCCCACCTGACTTAACTTTGTCGATCAGTTTCTCTCTTCCAGGAATTTGAAAACTTAAGCAGACATATACCAAGACCAGAAATTGTAGGTACAGCTTCACTTCAAAATAGAAGTGCCTTACCCCCAGGAAACTTCTGAGGTGCCAGAAATGTTCAATCGAGAAATATATCTCGATCTGGATGGTGATTACATGGATATGTACATATGAAAAATTTTACTTAGCTGTACACTTCATAGAATATATGTTATACCACAAGGAAAAAAAAAGTGGTGTCCCCAGAGAAAAGACCCACAGTCTCCAGAAGCCGGAGTCCCAGGACTGCCCAGATTTTCATTTTCTTCTTGAGGTTTGCTCTTTGACAGCTTTGATTCTGTGAGTCAACCAAATATGTCTAACTAACCCTTTTGTTCACTTAAATTGGCAAAAATTAGTTTTTCTTACTACAACTAGAAGACTCATAAGCAAGCTAGTGAGAAAAGCCAATCTCATTCTCTCACTCTTAATTAGCTACTTCTTCCTGTATTGCTATGAAATCCAGGTTGCAGTTGTATTTCCAAAAAAGTAAAAAAAAAAATCCTTCAAAATATTAACACAAAAGTAAACGTGGTAAAAATTAACTAGCTAAATGCAAAAAAAGAAAACTACTTATCTCTCTCGATGGGATTAAAAAACATTGGAAGTTTTGTTGTCCTCAATTTCAATGTAGTGTCTCCTCAGCTATGCACATCCTTCCAGGGGTAAGAAAAACAGTCCCTGATAGTATCTACAACTTTACTTATATGCAATGAACAACCCCATAAATGATTATATTTCATGGAATAACCCAGACTAAAAAGGTTTTCTGCAATAAGACACATGCTAGCTACATTATTTCTTCCCATTTGCTTCATCATGTACATAGTTTTCTCTCTTCCATTCCTTTATTCCTCTAAATTCTTTATTAATTAAAAAATATATAAGGAACAATATCCTTAGTACTGAGGTCACAGGCTTCTAAGTGTGACATTTCTTCCTTCTTCTTAAAGAGACCTTCTGTAATGTAAAATTATTTATACAGCAGTTCCAAATAGCACAATTTAAAAAGTATATGGAAATACATGCTGTTAAGTGAGAAAATGGGCTACAGCACAGCATGTATAGGCCAAACTCATCTTTGGAAATATTTATGATGTGAGCATGTGTACAGGTACTCTCTGAGAAGACATTAAGGTTGGTTTCTTTCGTCTTTTTGCTTATGTATTTCATAAATTTCCTGAAATGAACATAATGACTTATATAATAAAACAATCTGGGCCAAGTGCAGTGGCTCACACCTGTAATCCCAGAACTTTGGAAGGTCAAGGCAAGAGGACTGCCTGAGCCCAGGAGTTTGAGACCAGCCTAGGCAACTTGACAGACCTCATCTCTACAAAAAAATTTAAAAATTAGCTGTGTGTAGTGGCACATGCCTGCAGTTTCAGTTACTTGCAGGGCTGAAGTGGAAGGATCACTTGAGCCCTGGAGGTCGAGACTGTGGAAGCCGTGATCATGACACAGTTCTCCAGCCTGGGTGCCAAAGACTCTGACTCAGAAAGAGCCTGACTCTTTTTAAAAAAACAATCTTAAAAGACTGTACAAGAGTATAAAATATATACTGCTAAAATCAGACCCAAATGGCCATCGTACACTGGTACTTAAGAAAGAATGAGAAGGCATGCCTGAGGTATACTGAATGACCTTATCAAAGTGGCATTGCAGTCAGTAAAGTAACAGCAACAGCAACATGAAATAAAACCTATCTCCACCCCTACTTCCACCCCTAGTTTTCCTGGAAACAGACAAGATGACTTACTTGATTCTAGATGCTGCTTTGGAAGACAAATTAGGCAAGAAGAAAGAAATCATGTGGGAGAAGTGGTGCCATCCCTCCCCAGCACTCCCCCTAAAACAAAGGCTAGATGTAAGATGTTTCTAACAGTTAAAGTGATTTGTTCCAAATGATGCCACCTCAATTACAAAGAATGAAATATAAATGAAGACAAGACGTGAAGACCAATGTTATCTATCTTCTGTGTTATACTTCTTCTTCTCCTACATTTCTCCTTATCTGGTATGTTTCTGGGAGCAGACGTGCTAACGGTCTTAGATCTAATTTTCTGGGCTAGGTAATAGCGCTAGTGCCAAAAAGAAGGAAGAGACAAAGAGAGGGAGGAAGAAAAGAAGAAAGGGAGAGAAAGAAGAGAAGCAATCTATAAAGGCAACACAAACAGCAGTTTCTTAAGGTAGAAAGACATACCTGATAAAAACCGTTTTTCCTTCATTCACATCAGAGGGTAATTTCCTCTTTTTTTTCTTTGGGACTTGTACATCTAAGGTAAAAAGAAAACAACAAACTGAAAAAGACTAATGCAAGCCATAAGACAGAGCTAACTTGTCTTTTTTTTTTTTTTGAGTTGGAGTCTCACTCTGTCGCCCAGACTGGAGTGCAGTGGCCACTCCCAGCCACCACAGCCTCGACCTGCTGGGCTCTGGCTATCCTTCCGCCTCAGCCTTCCAAGTAGACGGAATTACAGGCATGCACTACCACACCCGGCTGATTTTTTGATTTATTGTAGAGATGAGGTCTCGCTGCCCAGGCGGGTCTCGAACCCGTGGGCTCAGGCAATCCACTCATCTTAGCCTCCCAAAGGCACGGGATTACAGGCTGAGCCACCGAGCCCGGCTGAGAGCTAACTTCTTAAATGTATAAAGATCTTCCATAAATTGATAAAAGAAAAAAGAAAAAACAAAGAATATGCAACTAAATGCATGAAAAGATGCTCAAACTCACTCATAAAGAAAAACATAGCACAAAAAAGGAGATACTATTCATGGCAAAATCAAAAAGACTCATGGAATCTAATATAGTAAGAGTGTGGGAAAAAGACATTTCCATATACTACTATGACAGTATAAACGGAAGATGGAAATACTGTATGGGTCTTATGAAAACTTTAAGAAGAAAACATATACATACATTCATACACAAACTACAAAATATACAATGAGGTATATGTGTGTGCAAATAAATGTATTTCTGCTTATAAATGTACTGAAATACTTCTAGATATACAAGAAACACACAATGTTGTTTGTCTCTGGGAAAGTGTCCTAAGAGGCTGACGATCTGGATATAAGAGAGATTCACTGTTTTGAAGAAGAGACACATATGCTTATATTTGCATATATCCTTTCTGGAAGGATACATAAGAAACAACAGAGGTTGCTTTGAGGAATTGTTGAGATTGGTGAGGAAATTTTACTCTTCATACTGTACTCCTCTGTACTGTATTTTTTTTACTAACTTTCTCTCATTATCATGTATCTAGCCTATAGTTTTTTCTGGTGAAAGAATGGCAAGAGACAGTTGAATCTGAATTGTAGAATACAGGGCCTTATAGTCCCTTTGATATAAAAGCTTCTTCAATTCTAAGGTATCTACCATTCTCTCCTGATGGAAAAAGCTTATTTCCTCAGATTTCTTATATGGCCTCATCATAAGCCAGACTTATAGAAAAGGAAGCAGAATAAAAATAGCTGAATGAAAATCTCCACCAAACAAATCAAAGGAGGAATTATTGGCCACTTCTTATTCTGTAATGACCTGCCTTCCTCAATACATGAGTTGAATTTATTCTCAATAAAGGTAGCAATGCAGATTGGTAAAAGTTTTACAAAATGTTAAAAGAGGTCCTTGTTATAAACTGAATTGTGTCTCCACCAAACTCATATATTGAAGCTCTAATCCTCAGAGTTCCTGTATTTGGGGACAGGGACTCTAGGAAGGTAATTAAAGCTAAATAAGGGTGTAAGGGCAGGGCTCTAATCTGACAGGATTAGAGTCCTTATAAGAAAGAGAGACCAGAGTTCCTTCTTGCTCCTCTTCTCCTCTTCCCTTGCTTCCAGCACACAAAGGAAAGGCCATGCGAGGATACAGCAAGAAGCAGCAGGCTGCAAGCCAGGAAGAGAGCCTCACCCAAAACCAAATCAGCCAGTACTTTGATCTGGGACTTCTAGCTCCCAGAACTGTGAGACAATACATTTCTGCTGTTTAAGCCACACAGTCTACGGCATTTTGTTATGGCAGCCCAAGCTATTAGTCCTTTATCCCCATCTCGACTCAAAAAGGGTGTTTAAAATCCACCTTGATGCTAAGATGCAATATCCTGTTTATCCAGTTATTCATTTAAGTTGGACAATCAAGGGAGGGTTAAGTCTTTCAGCATTAAGCTAGGTTTTAAATTCCCTAAGAGTCTTAATCCACAAACACCACTCCCAAGCTCATTTAAAAAACAAAACATGTTAGCCAGGTCTGGTGGTGCCTGCCTGTAGTTCCAGCTACTCGGGAGGCTGAGGTAGAAGGATCGCCTGAGTCCAGGAGGTCAAGGTTGTGGTGAGCTGTGACTGTACCACTGCACTACAGCCTGAATGACACATTGAGACCCTGATTCAAAAAATAAAATTAAATTAAATAAAAAATAAAATAAAATAACGAGCAAAAAAGCCCGAGAAGAAAAGAATATAAAACTTTCCTTTTCAGTATTTAAATATAAATTTGATAGAACACCTTAGAGGCCTAAGCAGAACTGATGAACATTCCTCCGCAACTTGTTTAAAGTTTAAAAACATGGATGGTGAGCCAAACAAACCTTCATCTTCCCGCTCCTCTCCAACACTGTCTCTTTCCTCCAGGTCACTATCCTCCTCAGACCGATCCTCTTCACTGCTTTCTGCAGGAACTGCTCTCTTTACTGCTCTGTAATGACAGTTCAGAACTAAGAGGCTGGGTTCACCAGAGGGGCCTGTTCCACGGCAAGACACATGTCAACTCCACAATGACGGGGGCAGGGAAAGACATGAGAATTCCACCTCTCAGAAACAATCCTGAATCTTCCTGTTGTCTCAGAACAGGCTGAGCTACTTACCTCTTCTGGACTTGTACAGGCTTGGCCACTTTTGATTTTCTGTTCTCCTGCTCTTCATCTTCATCATCTTCACCTGCATCCTCCTCCTCCTCCTCCACATTATCTTCATTATCATCATCTTCATCACCATCATCTTCCTCTTCTTCTTCCTCGTCCATATCCTCTTCCTCCCTGCCATTCTTTTTAACTAATTCCCAATTTTTAGATTCACAGCTCTTTTCCTCATCTATGGAAGGAGGCAAAGAAAGCAGGAATTCATTTAATATCCAAAACAAGTTTATTTTAACAGGAGTAACTGATACTCCAAGTTCCTGGTTTCTTGGGTTTTATAAAATTTCATATATTTTTCTGACTGTATATAATAGGAGAAAGTATGAAGGAAAAAAACATCAAAAAACAAATACAGTGTGTATCATACGGACTCCACTAGAGTTCACCCCATTCATCAGAAGCCTGAAGGTTAATCTGGCCTGGAATGAAAGAAGTAGCAACTGAGCCTCTGCAAACAGTCCGCCACTTGCACATCACAGCTGGCACAATGATCACTAGGGGGCAAAGCCAAGCCATGAACTGTAAACTCAGTAAGTTCTAGTCTCAGAGACTCTGGTGGCGTAACAGTCAATTGCTTTCTAAATAAAACTCAAGCTTTAAGTTTCTTTATTCTTAATGTTCCATTGCTCCCTAATATGAAAAGCTGGGAAAGGAAGCACGGAGAAGGGACAACACATAACCACCCCCAGGAGTGGGCTGAGACACAAAAGACCCTATGTTTTGGGACAAGATCCCAAGATGGTATATAAAATGGATTGACAAACAGCCCCGGGCTCACTTCTGAGTCAGCAGGAATTCAGAGCTTTTCCTGAATGCTCAGTCTCATTCTTTTGTTTAATCTTCTGTAATGTTCTCACTCTGAAAAGCAGGTTCCCTTACACTTTCATCACGAAGATAAGAGTTGTTTCCACACTCTCACCCAGGACATACAACTCCCCCCACAACCCAACACTACCACATCTTACCTGGGGCAGAAACTGATCGTGTATTTTTATATTTATCCTTTGCCACAGCCCAATCCACAGCCACTGTCCGCCCTGCCAAAGAGAACAGTGGCAACAGAAAGGCTTTCCTCCTTTTAACATCCCTGTCTCTGTAAACGATCCCCTCTCATTAAAGGCATTAATGGAACCAATGGTGAAAAAGAAACTGCTAACTGAGAGCATGATGGGCCTCAAATAAAGCTCCCAATTGCTGTCTACTCTTTTAACCCTTAAGCTTTTAAGTCAATTAACAGAAATTGTGCCTTTCTATACAGCCACTACACCAGGAATAAGATGGAGTAAAAAAAATAAAGGGTTAAAACAGTGTTTCTAGTTAAACTGGCAGAAAGCAAAATACATATTCTGGAATCATCTCCACTCTACTTGGAAGTTAGGAAGTCTCTAAAACAATCCCTTCTTTAGGACCTGACAAATCCATACCTAGAGTAGTCTCACAGTCAGTATACTAGCCCGTGGATGCTGAAGGGTGATCAGAAACAAGAGGAACCTAGACACCAACCTGCATCTGCCAACAATTATTTCAGGGACATTTTTCATTAGGGATTTAAAAGGACACTCTCACCAAATAAAGGAGAGAATAATGGCATGGATTCTTTCTTTCTCTTTTTTTTTTTTTTTTTTTTTTTTTTTTTT